TGAATAGAATGAAGAATTCGGAGAAGACAGAGAGATGATGAGGAAAAAGCAAGAAGAATACCCTTTATATAATTTCTTGAACAGTTTTTGTAATTCATTAGACAAATCCCTACAGACCATCTCTGTGGGGCAGGTACCACTCAGAACTGGGGTCGGGGTACAGAATTAGCTGGTGAGAGCCTTGCCCCACGGCTCCAGCACAATGGCTGAGCCCAGCAGACCCTTCTCTTGTTTGAGCTGCTTCCTTTCTGATGCTCCGCGTCCTGGCCCATTTTCTGGGGTGAGGTCATCGGATGACGTGCTTGCTCTGGCTCACTTCCCTCCCCTAGGATCTGTCTTTGACCTGTGCAGGCCCGAGGCCTCGAGGAGAATGCTTGGGGCTGAGATGCAATCTTCTGGCTGAATCACTCCCCTCCCACCTCAGGCCCTGATGACATTCAGGAAGACAGACCACTGTTCACCTTTCCCCTCTGGGCCGAAGGATGGGGTTTGACTCCTGGAATCTGCTCTCTTACTCATTTGGAGGCTGTCAGTGCTGTTCTGGTCCCCAAAGGATGCTAAGTTGAAACGAAAACAGACACAAAAGCAAAACCTGCAGATGGGGCTCCTAACAGAGAGGCAGGCTTACTCCTCTCTGGCCCTGTAACTCACAGTGGAATGACAGGCTGAGCCACCAGGCAGTCAGGACACCCAGGGCTACAACTGCACAGAAGGAACTTGATAACTACTGACGATCAAGGCAGACGAGAGCAGGTGTACACTGTGGCTTTGTATCCGGCTGGAGATACGGGCCTGACAAAACACCTCTTGCCCTCGCTCCTCCCTCCAGGGGTGTCCCAGAGCACACTGTGACAGCCTCTGTCCAGCACCTTTTCCTGCATCATAGAAAAATCAGAGAACATATACAATTATAAGAAGAAAATATGAGGGAACTGCAACCCTATCCAGCATAACCACTGCCACTCTTCCATTGTTCCCGTTGCCACTTTAAAATGCATCTCCCATCATGGAGACCACTGTCTAAATAGAATTTGATGTTCTTCTACAATTTTATGCTCTGTTTTCTGCACAGTCTCCTTGACTGGACCGCTGTGGGGACAGCATGATCAGAGAGCGCACGAGGGGGAGGCTGCCCCCATTGGGGTGTGGCCTCCGGGTGGATAAGCAGGGACCACGAATTCAGCACTCGGTGCTACCGCAGCTTGATCTGAAGCCTGAGACAGCAGGTACTTCAAATCTGCTTGGAGATGTGGAATTTTCAGCACAGACTCCAATCTCTTACTTATTATACACTTCCCACTGCTCTTGGCAGGACAGCCTGGAAAACGTTTGGCATCCTATATTTCCATTTGCATTTCCTTTCTGCAGGCATTTTCTTAATGGAGCTGCTTGTTCCCCAATAGGAACAGGCTTCCAGGTTGAAAATGGCTCCAGTTCTCAGCAGAGGTGCCCAGAGTCTCGATATTTTGTTGTTGTTGTTCAGTTTCTTGCTTTAATTTAAATGTTTTAAAACTTACACTTTGTTTAAGGTGGTTTTGAAGATACAGAGAATGGGGAAGATAACAAACCTAACAGGTAGCACAAGGGAAAGGAAGATGAACAAAACTTAGATAAGAAACTTAAACAAATAACATGGTATAGAAATTCTAAACGTATTTAAAACCATTGAATTGTACACTTTTAATGGGTGAATTGCATGATATGTGAATTAACCTCTTTAAAATTGAGAGAGAGAGACATTGATTTTTTTTTTTTTTTGGGTTCCACTTATTCATGCATTAATTGGTTGATTCTTGTACGTGCCTTGGCCAGGATCAAACCCATAACCGTGGTGTATTGGGACAACTCTCTAACCAACTGAGCTACCCGGCCAGCACCTCAATAAACCTTTCTCAATGGTACAGAAAGGAGGGGGGAGAAACATGGTATTTGTGTTGGAGTCAAGGTCAGAGAAGAGAAGAGGAAAGGCCATGTTACCTGTGTGCTTTAAGAACACCAGTGGAAGCAATTCGTGTGCCTGCACGCCGGGGCCTGCAATGACGCCATGTTTGGGAGGGCTCAGCTGGTTATATTTATAGCCATGTGGTTGCTACCGGCAGCCGGCAGGTCTCACTTCTCTTTTCTCCACGTCCTAATTCTGTTCTAAAACGCCACTCTGATGGCAAGGCCTGGGAGTCTGCGCACCCACACGTCACAGGGGCTTCCTGGGTCCGCTCTGGTCCCACATCCCACACAGGCCTGTGCCCCGACCTGTCTCTGAAGGACTGGGGATCCAGACCCTCTCTGGGCCATGAAGATTAACCTCTACTTGGGGTGGTCCTATGTTCCCGAGGGTTTCAGAAGTGCTTGGGGAAGGCACACCCAGAGCTTCTGATCTCATCGCTCCTAGCGAAGCCTGGGAATCTGCCTTTGGGGCAACCACTGGTGCGATTCTGATGCTAAAAGTTCAAAAACCACACTTGGAAGAGCACCCTGATTCTGGTGTCACCCCGCATCACCACCAATGCAGCAAGAGAATGCCGTCTCCCCTCCGGTCTCCATTGCTTGGGCTTCATGTCCGGATCATCAGAAGGATTCTGCATGTTCCCCTGAGCCCTCCCCAGGCTTGGCGCATGTGCGCTGAGAGGGGCTCGCACTGAGACTCAGTGGGTGCAGCCGCTCCTTGGGGACCGCCCACGGGAGGGGCAGGCAGACCCACGGCACCTCCTAGCTGGCAGACACCGGGTGCTCTGCGGGGAAAAAGCTGACGGCGGGCAGGCCCTGGCTCCAGGACTCCGTCTGGCACAGCTCTTCCCCAGCTCTGAGTCCTCATGACCCCCATACAGGCACACCCTCCGAGCAGTGTCACAGCTCTCATCTCCTGTGGCATCACTGCCCACTCCCCTGCATAGCAGTCCTCCATTTCCCAGCTCTTAGGCCAAGTTTTTTTTTTTTTTTTTTTTTTTTAAATATATTTTATTGGTTTTATACAGAGAGGAAGGGAAAGAGATAGGGAGTTAGAAACATCGATGAGAGAGAGTCATCGATCAGCTGCCTCTTGCACACCCCCTACTGGGGATGTGCCCGCAACTAAGGTACATGTCCTTGACTGGAATTGAACCTGGGACCCTTCAGTCCCGAAGCCGACGCTCTATCCACTGAGCCAAACTGGTCCTGGCTTAGGCCAAGTTTTGTATAAAGTATCATTGTTGTGTATGCTTAGATCCTAAAGACTTGTGTACTGTGTACACACAGGAAATGGCAGGGCACAATACCGATACAGCACCCTATCAACCCCTGGTCTAGAGGTGCCTTTTATGATGCAAAGGGTATATGCTTCAGAGTTTAAAGACCCCAGTTCAAATCCTACCTCTGCGCCTTCCTACTTACCTGGCCTTTGGACAGTTAGTTCCAGTGGCTGGGCCTGAGTTTCCTCATTGGAATGAAAAGTGAACGCTGGGGAAGCATCTAGCACTGTGTGGGGAACCCGATAGGAGCCCTCGAGTGTTAGGTAATTCTTTTAGTTTTATGTTCTATTTCCATTTTATTTTTTCGTATCTGAAAGGAAACAGGCTCCCAATGTCTCTCACAGGGCGTATTAGTCAGGCTCTTAATTGCCAGCATCAGGAACCGTCTCTGGCCTGAACCAGCGGAGAGGGGGTTGATGGGAGGCGGTGGGGAGCTCGCAGAGCTGCCAGGAGGCTGAGGAGCCAGCTGCAGAAGGTGGGCTGGAACCGAGAAGCTCACCCAAGACCACGGCCAGACTGACCTCCCACCGCTGCCCCGAGCCCCAGATGTGCTGCCCCTCAAGGCAAAACCAATTCTCTGCCCACTCTGCTTCTTGCATTGCTTGCTCTGGAACTCGAAAAGCTCAGAGAGCGGGGCCCGCCAGCAGGGGCCAGGCTGTCCTCCGGCTCAGAGATGGCTTCCATAGTTGGCATTCCTCAAAGCTCAGGGCATTCATTCAGAGGTCAGGCAGCCGGACAAGACCGCTGTGCAGAGTGGATGCTCACCTCTTCTGACGCTCAGATCTCATCCGCATTTCACACACAGTCATCCTTCCGTTCCCGGGGCACTTTCTCCAGATCTCTAGGATCGCATGAGTGATGAGTTTAAAGGACCAGGGTGGGCCCTTGACGGCAGGAGATCTGTCTCGCTCATCCTCCCAGCCCAGGTCCTTAGCGCCTGGTAGATGCTTAGTTATCTTTAGGAACATACATTTCTGCGTTGTCTCTCAACACACGGGCTCCTTCCCTACACACACACACACATACACGGCACAGGTCTGTTTACAACATGGAAATAAGCGTGTGAATGTGTCCTGCATACTGTGAAGTGCCTTATCTTAGCCCAAAGGCTGAGAAGTGGTGAATGCTGGGACAAATGAAAGCCCACATGTTGTTTATTTCATTCCCGTTTGACAATCGCTGGTGAAGAGCTGCGTGCCCTGAGTGATGTTTTAACCGGAGGAAGTTAGGACGCGGGTTTCGGTCCACCTTTCCTAATTTTGCGGAGCCCCTTGGTTCACTGCACGTCAGAAAGCGACCGAGTCAGAAAGTCGCCCAGGGGACCTGCTGATCAGCCCCCCCCCCCCCCCCCCCAAGTCCTGGCGGGTCCGCCCTGGCCGGAGGCTGCGTCCCTCTCTGCAGGCAGGTCAGCAGGGGCCACGCGCCCGCAAAGCCGCCCCTGTTCCGTCCCCACCCGCGGCTCCGGTTCGCTCCGGGGCTCCGGTGCACTTGGCCGCTGGGTGCTGCCCGCGGGGCCGGCACGTGACCCAGAAACTTTGGAGCCGCGGGGCGGGCGGCGGGCGGCGCTGCGGGGCGGGATCGCCGCCGGGAGCGGAGCGGAGCCGGAGCCCAGCGGCAGCGCGCCTGGCCGCCGCGCCGTCCGCCCGCGGAGGCCCCGGGGACGCGGACCCCGCCCGCCGCCGCCGCCGCTTCTGCCTCCGTCGCGCAGGCGGATCCCGCGCGCCGCTCCGCACTCGGCTCGCCCGCTCGCCCCCCGGATGGGAAGTTGGGGAGATGGACAGGGTCGCGCTGGCGTGGCTGGCTCTCCTCGGGCTGACAGGTGAGCGGGGAACTTTATGTAAATATATTCCCGCGTGGGGGTGCCTCCGTCCCCCCCACGCCCCCGCTGCCTGAGCCGGGAGCGGGCTGGTGCGGGGGGAGGGGCTGCGTGCTGGGCGGGTGGGTGGGGGAGCCGCTGGAGAGGCAGGTGTCTGACCCGCTCGTGACGAGATGGTTCTGTGGAGCCTGCGTCCCCCTCCCAGACAGCCTTCTGCCCGTGGCACCCGAGTGCGATGCCGGGGGAAGCCTGGCGGGAAGAAACGGGAAGCTCCGAGGAGGCTGATTAATTAGGGAAACTGGCGTTCTGGGGGTGGGGGTGGAGGAGTGTCTCCTTAATTCCTTTCCTGGAGAAGCGGGGACCCTTCAGGCAGAGGGTGAGGAGGAAGGTGGGTGGGGTTCCATTGGTCTTGGCATTTAGGACCCTGCTGTCTCTTGTACCATTTGGGGAGTGGTCCCACGCTGAGAGAGGACCCTTCCTCTCCCCCCAGGAAAGATAATCGGCAGAGATGCTCAGAAGGTAGGGCTTCTCCCAGCGTGCCACTTCCTCCAGGGGGCCTCCAGGCTTCCCTTCCTTTTCCTGAACTTCTCCCACCCCCCGGGGGTCTGCAAAGGCTTTGTTTCTGACACTTTACACCCCTGCCCCCATGACTCTGTGTGTTTGAGGGGCAGGTGGCCAGGCAGGGAGCCAGCCTGGAGTCACAGGAGCCCTGCTCGGGGCAGGGTCTCTGAAGGTTGGGATTGGACAGGTCTGAGGCCATGACCGTGGAGACCGAGAGATGGAGGAAAGGGACAGGGATCAGAAAGGCCGTGAGGATAGAATGAGGGAGAGGCAGAAGAGAAAATGCAAAAGAGCACCCCAAAATGAAGTCTGGTCCGCTCCAGGGGCGCCAACCAGAGGGCTTGGGAGAATCAAGTCCACGGGAAAGGGGAGCACATGTAACTCAGTATGGCAAGTAGGCGAGAGGGTGAAATACACTTAAGAAAGGCAACCCCTGCCCCCGCTGCTTCCGAGTAAGAGTCCTGACTCCTCGGCTTCGTCCCTCACAGGCTCCCGCGCCCCATGATCCCGGCGGGGCACCCGCTGCGTTAGCCTCTCCTGCCTGCACTGAGTGTCTCCCTCCCACACTGCTCAGATGTGAATCATCTGTAATTTCAGGGTTTGGCTGATCCGTGCCTCCCCCCCCCCCTGGCCTGCCCGGGCCTGCCACCTCCCCCTCACTGATCCTCAACGTCCTCAGTTTGCCTCCTCTTCTCTGTTATCTTGTCCTGGGAACTTTGGCCCTGAGCCTGCATCGCACCCTCCCTGAAGTCAGCAGGGCGCCTGGGAGGGTCCCTGAGACAGAGAGCCAGGGCCCTGCAGGGAGCCGGAGCAAGGGAGCAGGCCTGGCCGGGGGATGTGGGGGGGAGCTCACGGCTTCTGTGGCAGTGGAATCTAATTGCTGGCAGGGACCCAGGCAGCCAGGGACCCGGGCAGCCAGGGACCCGGGCAGCCTCGGCCATGACAGAAAGGCCCACAGGCAGGACAAGCACCAGCAAATGTGTGATGGAGCAGAGACGAGCCCAGTGCTCTCAGATCAGTGCCATGGGCTGCCCGCTCCTGAGCTGCCTGTGAAGTCTTCATTGCAGGGTTTGGTTTTGTCTGTGTTGGGCAGGGTGGGCTGCTGTGCCCGCTCCTCCTTCCTTCTGCACCCAGAGGCTGCCCTTGCCCGGAAGCAGGCAACAGGTTAGCAAGCAGGGCCGAGCTGGGCCTCTGCTCTGCAGGTGAAAACTGGCTCCCTGGGTCCCCTGGGCACCTGCTGGCACCCCCTGATCCCAGCTTCACTCCGGCCTCACCCTCCAGGGCCTGACAAGCTGCTGTCACCCTGAGCTGGAGGCGACAATGGCGGAGGGGGAGGGAGGGAGGAGAGCAGAGCAGTGATGGGGACGCAGATCCAGACTCCTTCACAAGGAAGCCGGGGAGGAGAGGTGAGGCAGTGCGGTCCGCCCCATCAATGGATTCTCTCTTGAGGGGGTGGTGGGAGGGCGGGAGGAAAGGAGGAGAGGACAGATTAGAAATGAGTCAGAGCGCCAGGAAAAAACACTCGGTGTCCTCTCCCCCATGCCCCTCTCTCCCCTTCTTTCTCTCCCTCCCCTCTTCTCCCCTCCCCCGCTTCTGCCTTGTAACGCAGGCTGAGCAATTTCTAATCAGCACGCCACTGTGTTGCTGGGCTCCGGCAGCTCCTTGCTATCTTTCTTTCTGGATTCGCACAGCTGTAGATCAGCCTGGTGGTTGCTTATTGTCGCTGGAATGTCGCTTCCTGTCATAGCTTGTGTTCTGTTGTTGTCCTTGTTTCAAACAAAACAAAATGCTCAGGCCTGTGGCTGCAGCAACAGGTGCCATGGGGCTGGAAGCCCAGAGGCTTCGCTCTTTGTTCCCAAGTGTGGATGTGGGTGTGGGTGTGGGTGTGGATGTGGATGGTGTGGCCGGCCTGGGGTCCTCTCCTGCAGCCTGAGTCTTTGGGGCATTTTGATATGGAGAGAGCACACGTGTGACAGAGCATGGGGGAGGCATGTCCAGCCCGAACCCAGGGTTGGGCGGAGCAGCTCTGAGGTGGCCGCAGAGGAGGCGATGCCCAGGTGAGACATTTGTGCCCACCATCGGCACTGAGCTCTGTCATGACCAGGTGCGTGTAGGGGCAGCACAGCCCCTGCCTCGGAGCTCAGCCTGGAAGTGGCCCACAGCAGTGGGATGACGGAAGCAGTGGGCCTGCACCAGGTGCCCTGGGCTTCCCGGCTCCTGCCCAGCCTGAGCCGGAAGGGCGGTCTCCAGGTTGCTGCCTGGTCTCGTTGGCATTCGGGTGGATGCCTGGTGACCGTGGAGGACAGGCCTGGGTATGGAGAGGTCAAGTGTGTGCAGCTTGGAGGACGGGCCACTTTGAGAGATGGCTGACCCCTCCCTTCCATGAGCACCTTCCTGTCCTGCCTTTTCACCTCTCTCCTCACTCTGGGCTCCTGTCCCCTGGGAGAAAGGAGCACCTTCCTTCCACTCTCCCCACAGCTCCCCAAGCCTATGCTTCTCTCTGGACGGAGAGGGACTTATTTCCGTCTCCCCCTGCCTTCTCAGGTTCTAGGTTCACATGACTGCAGCAGGCCAGGGTGCACAGACCAGGAGCAGCCATGGGTCTCACTGTGGGCGGGAGCGTGCTGGTGCCAGTTCTCCGTGCCCGTCCTCCGTGCCCGTCCGGTGTTTAGTGCCAGTGCCAGGGCTTGCTCAGTGGGAGGGACCCTGGCTGAGAGCTGATGCTCTGCCCTCATCTCATCGACAGATGAACGGCCAGCCACGGGGTCTTAGAATCTGCTGAATGATATGGTTTCTGAGGTCCCTTTCAGCTCTAAGAGTCTGGTTCTGAACCTTTCTCCAACTTGCGGGGAGTTAGAAATGAGAGCCACAGGTCCGTCTTCCTTATGACTCCCCCGTGAGTCTTTGGCCGGGAGTGACTGGCATGAGAACCGTCAGCTGGGGAAAGAGAGTTCTAGTTAGGTCTCAGAGGGACAGACGGGGTAGCCCCAGTGCTTGGCGGACAGAGTGGGGTCAGGGGGAACGGTGGAACGTGTTGGGGTGCAGGACTGGTGCAGTGAGCGAGGCACGCTGTGGCCCAGGCAGGACTCTGACCGGAGTGGCCTAGAACGCCCTTCTCATCTAACGTTCTCTTCCTGGACTCACTTATTCATCCTTCCACCCACGTTAGCTCTTAGCCTCTTTGTCCCGGGTGAGGACTACAAAGGAAGGTACGAGGTGGCGGTTGTTCTCGCGCATTCATGTGCCCTAGCGCTTTTCTCTGCTAACTGGCTCGCAGGTTCATTATCCCTCTGGTCCCTCCGAGAGGGCATGGCTGGCGTCACCCCCAGCGCTTGAGAAAACCAAGGCTCAGAGGTGGCCCCCCTGAGGCCGGGATAGCTCATTGATGAGAAGGATGTGAAACGGTGTCACCGGCTTAATGAGGCTTGTTTCATGTGCCTGGACCCAAAGGACACAGGGCACCCCTGGTGTCTGCTATGGGCCTTGGGGAGTGAGGCTCGGGGTCCAGGGCACCCAGGGAAACGTGCCAGGACAGTGAGGAAGAAAAGCATTCAGCATTTCAGATTAATTCTTGAAAGGTGAAGAAAAGGAGGGGCCGCAGCACGGAGAGCAGAGGGGACCCGTGGCAGAGGCGCTGCTGCTTGGCAGAGCCCCTGGGGACGGGCTGGCGCTGTGTGCCCACGAGCCCCACAGGTGTGGCTGTGGCATCTGAACCCTCAGGTACCCTCAGGATCTTTGTCTTCCAGATAATCTGGCTCTTTGAAAAGGAAAGAGGACATTTTGGATGGTAGGGTTCTCCGTGGGCCCGGGGACAAGGAGGATCCCAGAGCAGGCGCCTCTAGCCTCCATGCTGTCCATGGCATTGGGGCCCCGCAGGGCTGTTGCCTTTCAGCTTGGGGTCCTGCCCTCCCCCTCCATGCGCGTGGCTCACCTGGAGGCGGCCTGAGAGGCAGCGGGAGACAGGGATTGGGCTCCAACTGACCTTTGACCACTAGCTTAATATTTTACCTTAATGTCTTTGGCTTTAAAATGCAAGGGTTGTGGTGATCACTGAAATTATGTGAAACTCCCAGCACCACCTTTGGCACAGAGTAGGCCCCCATACTCCTTAGAAACCCAAACAGGGATGTTATTCAGCACTTTGATGCAGCAACAAGCAACTCCCAAATCGGAACAGCTCACAGCAGCGAACATTTAGGGCGGCGTTGCCGCCGGTCAGCTGGGACGTGGCCGGAATCAGTGGACGGGGCTTAGTTAGAATGTCTTCCTACTCTAAGGCCCAGGCCGAGGGAGCAGCCGCTTTCTGGGCATGCTGTTCTCAAGGGAACCTGGGAAAGGGGAGGAACCAAACCATGTGAATGCCTTTCCTACTTCTGCTTAGACATGCCTCCTGGCACATGAGCTCACATCTGATTGGCCAATGCAAGACATAAGGTCAAGCC